TACTAACTCCAATTTTGTGAAATTTTCCTGAATGCTACAAAACGTATTCATCCTAATGACTATAAATAGGCCCCAGTGGCATATCTAGGTTTTTTTTTGTGAGGGGTGATAATATGACCAAGATCATTTTTCCCATTAGGAGTCAAAGAGACCTGGTTYCTCCTCTTKTTATCTTACTTTTTCGTAAAGTTTTTCATTTGAACATATCCATTTACATTTATATTTTTTACATTATTTGATTTTAGTTTAATACCTAGTACATTCAACAAAATAGTGATGTATCAATATTCGTATCATGTAGAAGCCCTTAATGGAGTGTGGATAGGTCTGTCAGTCTATGATTTTAATTGGTAATTTAGTATATTTGATGATAGTATTGTGATTATTGCATTAGTACTACGTAGTAGATTAAATTAATTTTTGCCAAAAAAACATATAAAAGTCATTGTACAAATACAAAAATATACTTTAACGGTTTCAAGTGCCCACGAATACTATTTTTAGTTTACAATAAAATTACATAAATCATTATTCTTGGTTATTTAATATGTAATYTCGTCTACATTTGAACTTAAAAAAAACTAAAAAAAATACTACGAACATTTCCTCAGTTCCTCATTTTWTAAATTTTCAAATTTATTTTCGACTAAACATTAGTGCGCTATTAGTGTGAATTTGTGTAACTTCTTTCAGGATTTGTACTATACTGGTTTAACCATAAATTAAAAAATAGARGAAGGGCTAGAGAAATGTTCCCCAGAACCCCTCATGGAATAATCAACAATTTTCAAATTCCCCCTCTAAACATTAGTGTGAATTTGTTACGACTATTTGTGGAATATTTCTCAAGTCCCCCTTCTCTATTTTTTAATTTTTGGTTAAACCAGTATCGCACAAATTTTGAAAGTAGTCGAATAAATTCAAACTTGTGTTTTAATAGCATAATAAAATTCTTTTTTACGAAAAAATAAGCAAGTTTTTTGTCAATATTGTAAAATTACCTATCCATTAACTATTATCAAGTATAATAATCAAATAATAACACTCTATTTTAATATAATATTTAATGAGTTAAATACTTAATAATATAAAATGTATAAAAAGAAATGGAAAATATAATATTATATATATATATAAAATTTAATTTGAAGCCTATTTAGATCGAATACATAAAAACGATGATACAACCATATCTAATAATAAAAATGATTAATCATAAATTTGACAACATGCTTAGAAAAATAATTTTAAGTAAAAAAAAAATTATAAAAAATGTTTTGAACGAATTCGCACTAAAAAATAATATTATCATAAATTCATAAATGCCTGTCACCAGTTATATTATGTTCTAATGGCAGGTGCCTCGACGGGGTGCTGGTAAAACGACGACGATTATAAATCGTGGAAGTTGCTTCGTCRGTGTCGATTCCGACCACACAGACCACAAGTTCTATATTTTTACGTGTAAACGCGTTTAATAACTATAATAATATATACATAGGCGTAGCCAGTATGTATTTTCATTTGCAATTTTGCAAGTGACGTGATTACAAATTTTAAAAATATCTAAAGTAATTATATTATTTACGTAAAAAACTGTTTTTTTTGTAACCCGTTTTGTTCACAAAATTTTGTTTAGTTAAATAAACAATTTTAATTTTAAAAACAAATAACGTTTTTTATCTTAGACATCAAAAATATTTTTGTTAAAGTATATTATACATACCTAATGTATAAAGTATTGTGTATCAAAAAAACACGATTAATACAATTTATTTTTTACTATGACATTTTACACGTCTTTCAATTATTTTTAAACCATACTAAAATACTAAAATTATAAGTAGTAAATTTATTATACTATTCATTTAATTATGAGTTTGAGTATACGAAGTATTATATAGAAATAATAGGCCTTTTTTAGGTGGGGGTGGTTGCATTTGGAAAAGTATCCCTGTTATTACGCCTATGTATACATATATATATATAAATAATTATCTTAACGATATACTATGTTTCAAATTCAAATGTGTGGCTGGGTGGTCGATGATGTGCCCGGATATCCGGTCATTCTGCAATAGGCTGAGTCAGTGTGGAGTTGATGGCGCACGTGACGGACTGAGCTGGTCCGTAAGCGGCGATTATATCGGCTATGCTGTTGGCTGTGCCGAAGACCAGTGCCAAAATTCCAACGACAATCAGTAATGCGTTCCGAATGGTCATCCAGACGGTCACTTCATCCCAGTATRTGGCAAATTCTATGATCAAGGGCACAATGATGCCGAGCAGTGAGAAACAAAAAGCACCGATGAGTCCGATGAATGGACCAATTGTCGGTACAGCCACCGCGATCACCACTGTGAAACGAAAACAAGACATAATATATAGATATTTATCATTAAAATAACAAATATGTTAAAACTTATGGTTACGGTTAAAGGCGTAGTTAGATCTATATTTTTTTTAAGGGGGGCAAGGATAGAGGATTCAATTTAGGTTTTATAGGCATTAGAAAAATTTAAGCCTATATAAGAGAATAATCACGTGTGTTGCCACTATTTTACAATTGTACAGCATAGACAATTTACATCTATCCAGTGGTATAGCCAGTGAGATGGCTGAGGGGACTACAGCCCCCCCCCCCTGAAATTTTTAGAAAAATTGTCTTTGAAAGTCACAATATAAAAAGGAAATTCATTGTTATTTTTATTTTTTTTCTTCACGTTAAACTTATGGAAGAACCTAGATAAACCACCGCTTTGAAAGTTAATCATCCCCCTCCCCTGGTTACGCTACTGCATTCATCAGAACTTGTTTGTGTTGTTGAAAATAATATTTGAGTGATTTTAAATACTCTAAAATTTAAAGGTTAGAATATTACCTGAGTGTTGTACTCAGATAATATTCTTACCATTAAATTTAATAGTTGATAAATTCACTTTTAATACTGAAACCAACAATACAAAATAAGATCTGAACTCAAATCTGCTATATTGTACATTCTGTTAATCAAACTTTGTAATTCCAAGCGTAGTTTTGCTATCTTTCTCACTAAGAAAAAAAGTTCTTTTTAAATTTATGTATTATAACCATACATTTATAGTTCCCTCTGTTAAAGTATAGGATTGATTTATATTGAAAACCTGGCAGTTTTAAAAATTAATTCCTTGAGTTGATTATAATAAATTTTTTTTTTCAAAAACACATTTACAAGACTTGAGAGGATGTCGAATTATGAACTTAACACGAAAGTTTTGATAATATCAGTAAGTGTCTATTAAAAAAATATAAAATAATTATTTWATGTTCGTCGGACGTCAATACACTATTTGTTTTCTCTATACTAACCAACGAACAACATATCAAATTTATGTTCAATAGAACAAACTCTATATTGTTACTTGTAGTAATAGAATATGAATTCCCTAATTATCTTACTTTAAGATTCAAGTTAATAAATTCAGTGTTTCACTAGGCATTATCTTTTATAATATTTTAATTTTCATGTTAATTATGAACATGTGAAATATCACAATTTAAACGTGCATAAAAATTATAATACCTATTGTATAAAAWTTAAACGTAACAATAACACATTTGATGTTCGTGCCAATGCCCAATATCCTCTCAATAAAATTGCTATATTGTTATCTAAATACCTACATACATTTATACATAAATACATGTACGTTTGGACAAATCTTATAAATTAGAAAACAATACAAAATAATTGGCACAACATTTTTTAAATATATTTTTTGACACTTGGAAAGCAATATTATAGTTCTGTTTTTCAACCTCTTTAATAGGTAACTCACAAAAATTAAATATTTTTCTAAACATCAACAGTAATATTGTCTATAATATATAATATTATGTTTTAGACTGAATGCAATTTGTTTTACTATACTAACTGCCATAAAACCTTAAATCAATAATATATATATATATAATAAATAATTATACAAAAATTCGGGTAGATGAACAATTTATGATTTTATACATTTYTCAAAATTTTTAAGAATCTTGATTTTKTCTTGCAAAATATGAACGAGTAAAAAGTCAAACTTCAGCTRCCTGCGACTAAAATGTAGGTACCTACACTCGTACGGTATAAGCATTACTCACCTGAAATAGTCACCAGAACCGTTCTCAAGACATAGTTGTGGAAAATTGTAGCTTTTTCAAAGTTTTCTTGGATTTTGGTCCACGCGATTTCCAAACATACGAAAAACTGTAGACCGTATGTACAGAACACGGCTAAACTGATGCATATTTTAGCCATCTGTGCAGCACTGTAAACAATTACACAAAAATTAAAAGGTTAAATTTAGTAGTTWCKACGCGCTCGACGCAAAACATACATTATAATATTGAATAGTTCAAAGGTGCACAAACAAGGGATTTACAATATATTGACTCCCTAAAAATCTGTATCTAAATAATTGTCAGTTTTTAACGCATTAGGCATATAATAATACTTCAATCTACCGTTTCAATATATCCCATCACAAATTGGGGATAAATTCATAAAATTAACACAAATGTATGGGTTAGTCAAAAATTAAAATTTTGAAATTGAAA